ATCCAATACCTTTGCCGTAGACTATGAAAAGTGTATTCGACTCCAGCATGTAGCGATGCAGCATGTTGATATCGAACTAATAAAGCTGCTATTGGAGATTCCTTAGGCAAAAGTATGGGATATTTTGCGTCATAATTAGCCAATGCAGGACTATTTCAGAATCTGACCAACAATTGATTCTGGAAATAGGAACAGTTAATGATTGCTTGACCAGGGAAAACAACTTAGAGAGCAAATGGGCTGCGTTTAGCTCGAGTCGCGGAATGGAGACAGACTTAATAGGTGCCACCCGGGTTTTTACCATTATCAAATTAACAGCATATCCATTGTTGACTTCGACGCGACTATAGATGACGGCAGCATATGCCTGGGACGATGCATCTGCAAATCCGTGCAGTTCCATTGCTTGAAGCGGTGTTGATATGTAGCGAGGAACTCTACAAGTTTCCAATAAATGCATTTCAGATACGGACTGTTTGCCACTGTGTACATAATTGGGGAGGGAGTACCTCATCTCAATCGACAGAACTCAGCCAGCTATCTTGAAAGAGAATCTTTAGAAACACAGTTGTGGGTGCAAGCAAGCCCAGCGGATCGTAGATCTTGGCAAGTTCCGAAAGCAGAATGCGGGTGGTAAGAGCGGTTGTAATTCCGGGTATTTCTAGCTTGAAGAAAATACAGTCAGCTTTTGGATCCCAATACAATCCCAGCACTTTAGCAAATCGAAATGAACTGTCCTTCTCTAAAGCTTCAAACGGATACTCACAAATAGTAAACGCGTAACAATTGGAATATGATCAACGTACGCGTCTCTGTTTAGAACGGCAGCAGCGCTTGGATACACTTCGACATAGTCGTTCGCGAGCTGCTTAAGAACTCGAATGGCGATGAAGCTAAGCCATATGTTACGGTCAGCAGTTGATAGTCATCCAGCGTAGCGTTCTCCTCCTTGCTCCAAATTATGCGTTGATACTGCGTCTGTTCGTCTGATACCAAAATACCTCTAATCATCTTCTCAATGTCAGCGCAAAATACATAAAGATGCTGACGAAAGCGAAGACATACTCCAATTAAATCCCTTTGAATAGGTGGGCCTATGTACAGTCGTGAGATAAGCGAACGACCCTTAGAGTCCTTTCCTGAGCCGTCAAATACAAATACAAATGCGTCCTGGATCCTCAAACGCTTCAGCAGCAGGTATCAGTTCCATGTGTCCTCTTTTTAAGTAGTCCTCCATGAACGTTACATACTCTTGCTTGAGTGCAGAGAACTTTCGAAATTTCCGTTCTAGGGCGGCAAAGCGGTTTAGAGCTTGTAGCAACGTAGAGCCAATTGACATGATGGGTTCCTTGAATGGGTACTGGACAATGTACGCACCATCTTCTCGGCGAGCATGCGTTGTCAGAAAGTGTTTTTCTGCAGGATCACTGGCGTCGATCGCCGCTTTGGTGTGATGCACCAGCTCCATATCCATGAAGGAGCGAACTAAGGAATCCAAATCTTCGTAAGCGTGGTGGACTTGTGCGTGCGTAGTGGTTCGCTACAATCGTTATAGCTGCCTGTAATAACCAAACCAAAATTAGTATGTAGTGCAATGGGGTATTCAATACCAAACTCTCGGCGATGTCCAGTATATATGTTCCAGAGTTGATCAGCGCCCAAAATAACATCGATTTTTCCTGGTGATCCAAACGTCGGTTCAGCTAACGGTAAGCTGCGAATCCTGTTCCAGATAGGAATGCTGGACTTGACCAGCTGAGCGGGAATCAAGGAGGTCAGAGAACTCATAATCAGGCCGGAGACCTCCAAGGATGCAGTTGTGGTTCTTGACAGCAAGGTGAAGCTAGCGCGACCTCGGAAGGTGCCGGGTTAGCACCTAGTCCAACGGCTGTCACAGTTCAGCCCGTGTAGGCCTCGAATACATTCGTCGGCAGTGTCAATTACCCTGCGTGACTCGGCGGTATTCAAATTGTTAGCGGTTGGCAACGAAAGAAAATTCTGAATAAATGATAAAGCGAGTAGGGTTTTCTTGTTATAACGATTTTGCAATTTTTCCAACGCGTCTTGATAATTATCATTCGAAACGGCAATATGTTTAATTAAGGAAAGGGCTTCTCCATCTAAATACGATTTCAGATAATGAAATATTTCGAATAGACGTTCCACTGTATGAACCTCCTCCTCGTTAAATGCCACAAAATCCTCAGAAAGGTCCATAAAGTGGTTGAAGGTTTCTTTAATCGACCTGATTTTAATAGATGTGAGGATTTTTGCCGGACTCAAGGCCAAAGTTGGTATCATTAACTCAACTGTTTGTTAGCACTCCAACCCAGCGTCACCGCTACCTCATTAGCCGGAGAAGAGGATTTGAGCTGAGCGTCGAAACTTCTATTTATACAACATCTAGGAATATGTAATTAAGAATTACATACTTCTAGGTATGACATACTTCAAAGCTTAGTCGCCTAAGCTTCAAATGTGTGTGAAAGCTAGAATAGTTGTCCGTTGAAAGCAATCTGCTTCCCGATTTTACGGACGTGAAATACAACAACTAAGTAATGAATTGTTGATTTCGAAAACGAACGCAAGGTGGCTACAAGACGATCCAGCTTCAATTGCAATGTTTCCACACTAATACATCCCTGCCAGAACTCAGAGGCACTGTTAAAAGCACGAGTTATTTGCCCCTTGCAGGCACCACGTTGTTGAATGGTCCGATGCATTTAAGCGTTAATGGCGAAAAGCAGCGGCTAATTTTTTCTTTTATTATTCACAAATATACTCAATTTCAAACGCAGTTATCCGGCTACTCGAACGGCCCAAAATTTGTTATGTTTATAAATGAAGTGGACTGTTTTAATGGCTTTATAGGTTTCGAGTTTTTTATTAATAATAAGCGGGCTTATAATAGGTTTTTAAGCGGGTTGCGATTAGCGAGCGGTTGCGGGTACAATTCAACTATATGACTGCCGAAAAAACGTGCAGAAAAGATAATAGAAAAGAACGAATGATATACCAATACTAATGCAGATCGACTTCAATTTCGGCTATGCGTGTGAGCTTAAAGCTTTTATGTAGAATGCAAAAACAATGATGTGCATTTAACTAGGTACAATTAGGTAACAATACAATGATGAGCATTAAACTAGGTGCGATTAGAAAACAATAATAAATGACCGATCTATTTCTCAACACCAGCACTTGTGGTATTTATCTAAAGAGACAGTCATTCTATCACTTTTTGATGACGAAGTCGATACCCAAATTAAGACAAAAAAAAAATGATTGCCGGCTTGAACAGGGCCTAAAGTTCACATTTTGGAAAACGTTATATTCCATCAAGGGAAGAATTAGCGCAAGAGTTGTTTGGTAAGATATTTTTTTAGGTATATTTATTATATTTTTCTTGTTACATAACTTGTTTTTATACCCGTTACTCGTAGAGTAAAAGGGTTTATTGTCTGTCCGTATGAACGCTGAGATCTCGGAAACTACAAAAGCTAGAAAGTTGATATTTTCCACACATACTCTTGTACCTCCTACGAGCGCCTCGCCTCGTCTAACGCCCACTAACGATTAACGTGACACTAACCCGAATACAGCGTTCGCACTTCCTTAGCTAAAGGACGGGTATTAGATAGTCTGGACAACAACCCGACTATAGTGTTCTCTCTTGTTTTCTTTCAGATAAAACGCTCGATGATTTTGTTTTAGAGAAAAGCAAACAATTTCTATCTCGACTGCATCTCTTTTAGGAATCAAAATGGTGCTTTTCTTGAAGCTAAAAAAGAATAAGTTAAGGGTGGTAAATGACACTGTTGAAACAGGATTTTAACGGGTTTATCACGGTCGAAGAGAACAAAAACAGTTTTTACCGCGCTGTGTTCAAAAACACAGAAATTTGTATCCGGACTGTAAAAAAGTACACTACAGAAAAGTTACCCTGGGTGAGGAAAGCTATTTTTATATTTTAAATAAATACTACTGTCTATGCAGGTTCATTTTAACTTTTACTGACTTCACTTATCGTTATAACGTAGCAGACCGAAATATTAAACCAAAATATGTTTTTTGATAAACTTTATAGACCTGTCGGCATAAAAAGTCATATCCTAGAGTAGGAGAGAATACAATAAAGACCAAAGAAGCTATAACTTATTTCCTATTATTTTCCCATTAATTTTCCCCTTCGTTCTTATGGCAGCTAAATGATATAGTCGTCCGGTTTTTTTAAATTTTTTCCTAAACCCAGAAATATATAAAAAAAACATTGTTTACAAAAGTAAACATTATTTTTCCGATTATTCTTATGGTTGTTTGGTTCCGACTTATGCAATAGAAAGAAGACTTATGGGAAAATTTCAACCCGAGACGGACAGACGGACGGACATGGCTAGATCGACTCGTCTAGTGATGCTGATCAAGAATATATATTCTTTATAGGGTCGGAAACGTCTCCTTCACTACGTTGCAAACACACTCTAATATATAGTAATCGCCTTCGCAGACTCTCCTGGTCCGCTTCGTCACTACGTGGACTGCCGTCCACAGTGATGGAGAAGGCTAACCGCTCTTCCATTGTCTGTGCTGTTTTTAGTTTGTTTAACTATACTAAAAATGAATTTTGTTGCTCTTGAAGTCACGAAGCTCAAACGTGACGGAGGGGTACAAAAAAACAAACACATAGGCAATAATTTTTAAGTGTGTTTGTGATTTTTGATGAAATAAAATCCCCTGCAGTTCCCGAATTCAGACCGAGCGCTAAATAGCCCTGCGTCGACTGCGACTCGTCGAAGTGACTCTCTCACCAACCCCCTCTCTCTCAATCACCGTCACCGACGGAGCCGACCGAAACGGCGCCAGAGACGACACTCTCTCAAATTATGCAAGCGCGATCGTGGCAAAGGGAAAAGAACACCAAGAGAGATTGAAATTGCAGATGCTGTTTTTCTCGCTCAGTATTCATTTTCTATTTTTTCAAAAGCAGGTGCCGTTTCTCCGCGGTTTTCAATTGAGTTTTAACTGTGATAAGTTGTTTTCGAGTTCAAACAAAAGTGCTATTAAGCAAGAATACAATTTTAGGTAAGTAATTTTCAAGGGTATTACAACTTTGTCTTGTCTAAATTATTATATCTTCTCATATTTATAATATGTATGTATGTATGTTTTATTTTTAATTTTTTTAGGTCAAGGTGCATAAACAATATAATTTCAGATGAGATCATTTTGTCCTACAGCCCAGAAGGATGTTATTCTTGCACTGCTAAGTAAGTTTTTATCATTCTTGTTTAATATTCTAATATTATATAATACAATAAAAAAATATATTTTTCAAATTTAGATCCAATATCCATGCGCGAAAACGGAGCTCATCAAGACTCCGAAAGCCATGACAAACGTACCGAAGATCCTACAAGTCACCGTAGTTGGTAAAAATCTATTAATTTAATGTAAAAGTATGGAAATAATTTACCAAAAATGATGTAGTAAAATGAATTGAAAAGAAATAAACCTTTTGATAAAGGCGATGAAATTCAACATATTTTTTATTATTCTCTTTCTTTGATGATGATTTTGGGTGATATTTCGGGGCTAAAATAGCGCCAAAAAGGCGCCAAATTTGGTGATGAATTAGGCGCTGCAAAATGGCGATGAACAGGTGCTAAGAAAGCGCTAGTTTCTGGCAGTGATGAGCCCCATGCCCATGTTAAAATCAGCGCTATTTTTCATACAAATTCACTAGTGACTGCTAAAAAAGCGCTGAATGGAACTGCAGGGTCGTTACCGAACAAAAATACAAAGTCAGAGGAGCTCTGATTACAACTTCACTGACGAAAAAGAACAATCGTAGTCGAGTACGTTTTCTACACTTGTAAAGCATTTTTTCCTTAGACCCCATTCGCATGTTGGCCGCTGGAGTCTGTTTGCCAGTATAGAGGTGATACGAATTTCGCCAAAGAGAGTTACGCGGATAACAAATTCCATGAGCCCGTGGCGTTACTTCCTTGCTAAAGAATTGGTAGTTTTCTAAAGACTAGTTCGAGCCAATTCGACTGAATGTTTAGAAATAAATCCAAATTCTTTGGAAGAAGATTACATGCCTATGCCTATGTTCCTATTGCGGCTATTCCACGACATTGTTCTGTTCATTCATTAGAACAATTTTTTCTCAGCATATACGATTTTACGTAGGTGCGAGCAAGACAGATATATGTCTTGTATGTAAAAACCGATGGGTACTTTCGATATTTTTTTTTTGGTATTTCAAAATAGGACCAATGAGCAATAAGAAAAATTGAATCTAAAAAGTACAATTTTGCTCATTCATTAGAGCTACTGTAAAATTGGATCAACAATTTAATGCTTTTTTGTTGAATTTTCAAACTTTTTGGGACTAATAAGATGCTATAAATAAACAAGAACAACACGAAAATTATTTTAGAGGCCTAATTACTGCGTTGCGAACTAAAAAATAACGCTCACACTTGAAAATTAAGTCATTAATGCGTCTATAAATTTATATAAAATGTTCTTTCTAGAAATTACAACCGGATGCGATAAAATTAAAAACAATTACATATGTTCTTTGTACAACCAAAAACATTTTAAAAACGTGTTAATAATGTCTGATTTCATGGCAGTACACACTTTTATTTTACAGTTTTTAACTTAATGATAGACCAGTTAAAGTTATTCGAATTACAAAGATTAAATTTAACGTTTAGATTCTAAGTGACAATGACATCTTATCCAAACAAATCCCAGTAAATTCAGACGAATAGCAAAAAAACCTACCGCGAATTTTTCAGGAGAGGACGAGCATTTACTACATTTTTGTCGTTTAACAATAAATTGTAATATTCTAAAATTTTACAAAACAAACAAATTTAAGTTACCGCAAATATTTGGGATTGGGGAAATTAACATAAGTGTATCACCCTTGCAGCGTAACAATAACAGCGACATCAACGTGTAACGAACTGTTTAGGTTAGGTTAGGACGGCTGCCAGACTATAGCCTGGCACACTTAGATCTCTGTGGGTCCATTGTGATACAGTATGATCTCTATTTTTGTGTCCCCTATCCGTTAAGAGTCAGCCTTTAGGTTAATTGATTAGCAAGTCCCCCATCCGGAGGATTTAATAAAAGAGTTTAAACTCTTAAGGTTAATCTTCGATATTTCGGTCAGGTCATTTATGAAAGGATATCCTAAGTGTTTCAGTCTAAGCCTGCATAGGGCTGGGCAAGAAGAGTAGGTGTTCCACCGTTTCCTCTTCTTCTTCATCCCTGCAGCTTCTACAAAAAATAATTTTTTGGGGCTTTTAGCCTGCCGGCGTGTGCGCCAACGAGCCAGTGGCCTGTGAGTACTCGAATTAGCATGACGCACTCCGTGCGGCTGAAATTGAGTAGTTCCGATGTTTTCTTATTGCCTATTGCAGGCCATGTCTGGTGAGAGATTCGGCACTGCGGTGTGTTTTGCCAATGAGTGTTGGGTAATTTGTTTAATTGGTTTTTAATAATTAGCTTGCACGTAGCCATAGGCATGCCAACATTCTCCTTTCCTGGAAGGAGACGTATGATGGTGCCTTGCTTGGCTAGCTCGTCCGCTATGCAGTTGCCTACGATATCCCGGTGACCCGGAACTTATATAAGGCTGACAGTAAACTGAGTAGCCATCTCGTGGAGAGATTTGCGACAGTCTGCTATTGTTCGGGAGCTTGAATTTGTCGAGAAGATTGATTTATCAGCCGCTTGGCTATCACTATATATGTTTATGTGTCTGTCTTGGGTGTTTATGTCCCTTAAGCAGACGAGTGCTTCCCTTATAGCATACACTTCCGCTGCAGTGGTCAGGAAGTCTGAATGAATGCTTGATCTCTAGCTGTTCGGAGTATGTGCCTCCTGAGGGTGTCCGTCTAGTTTGGAGCCGTCTGCATATAAACAGATTGCGACTATTGAGCCCGGTCGGCCCCGATCCCAGGGATCAGAGCTTTGAAGGGTGTGTGACTGTATTCACGGGTTTTAAATAGATCCGTTTTTTGGCGGGATCGATTTGTCATGCTGAAGAATCTTAGCGTGACCATAGAGCTGGGCTTTCCACTGCCCCGTAGTCGAATGGCTGCCCATTTGGCCCTTTCCAAGCCTGCTAAGACCAGGCTCGGGAGGTTCAAGATCGCGTTCAGCGCTTCGTTTGGGGTAGTTCAAAGGACTCCACTAATACACATAGCCGCCATTCGCTGTACTTTCCCTGCAGTTCCATTCAGCGCTTTTTTGTGTGAATCGCTGCTAAAAAAAAGCACTACGCACTCAACTACTAGTGAATTTGTATGAAAAATAGCGCTGATTTCAACATGGGCATGTCCTAGGGGCTCATCACTGCCAGAAACTGGCGCTTTTTAGGCGCTGATTTAATGCTATTTCAGCACCTTAATTTCGTAAAGAGAGAGATTGAGAAAGAGGGGGTTGGTGAGAGAGTAGATTCTGCCGAGGCTCTGCCGGCGTCGCAGTCGACGCAGTGCAATTTAGCGCTCGGTCTGAATTCGGGAACTGCAGGGTTGTTAAGGGGAGTCAAGATACATTGTTTGTGCAGAGCGGTAAGCGACAGAGCCACTCCATATAGCAGGATTGGCTTGACTACCGCTGTGTATATCCAATTTACTATTTTCGGGGACATACCCCATCTTAGCCCGATTGTTTTTTTACAATGGTCGCTTTCTTGGTTCTCTCTTGGTTGTTTAAGCCCCATTTAAGATGCTTATCTAATACTTACCCCAAGTATCCTGCGTGCTCGCTAAAAGAGAGATTACAGTTGTTTAGAGTTGGTGGGTTAAGTTTTGGGATTTTGTACCTATTTTTAAAAAGGACTAGTTCCGTTTTTGAGGGATTTAGCCCAAGTCCGTTTTTTGTAACCCATTCTGATAGTGTTTTTATTTTTGCGGACATAAGATCGCATAACGTTTGTGGATACTTACCATTAAAAATGATAGCGACATCGTCTGCGTATGCCACTATTTTACAGCCTCCTCCTTCAAGAATCCGCAGTAGTTTATTTATCGCGATATTCCATAAGAGGGGTGATTGTACACCTCCTTGCGGTGTGCCTGGGCTCACTAGTCTAGTCTGGGTTGAGGTCCCTAGTGTGGCCCTTCACAGCCTGCTTATCAGCAGTTTGTGGATCAGCCCCACCAACGGTGACTCAACCCCTAGTTCTGTGAGTGAATCTTTTATTGCCGTGGGAAGCACGTTGTTGAAGGCTCATTCTATGTCAAGGAAGGCGATCAAAGTGTATTCCTGTATACTGAGCGATTTCTCGATGTTTCTTACTACCAAGTGTAGCGCCGATTCAGTCGACTTACCTTTGGTGTATGCGTGTTGCGCCTCTGATATCTGCGTCGGGTCAATGATGTCTCTAATGTGTAGACCTATCAGTCTTTCTAAGATTTTTAGCAGGAATGATGTCAGACTTATCGGTCTAAAATCCTTTGCTGTAGTATGGGTGACCTTCCCTGCCTGAGGGATGAAAACGACTTTCGTTTCCTTTCCACGCTGTTGGTAGTTCTCCTACTGCAAGAATTATCTGGAAAATTTTTTCAGCCAGTTTATAGCTAGCTGTCCTGCTTGCTGAATGTGTGCCGGTGTTATATTGTCCAGTCCCGGCGATTTGTATGGTTTGAAACTTTGAATGGACCAGTTTATATTACGGTCTGATAGTAGGAGACTTAAGTTTATTCCTTCTCCAGTGTGTCTTTCTGGGGGATGTCCTGTTTGCAGGCTCCCTGGGAAGTGAGCGTCTAGAAGTAGGTTTAGGGATTCTTCACTAGAGTCCGAGAGTAGAAAGTATTTTTCTGAGCCTAGCAGCATCAGTTTTCCTTTCAATATCTGAGCAGAAGTTCTGCCATGCAGTTCTCTTCTGCTTCCTGATGGCCTTTTTGTATGTGGCTAGTTCCTCTTTGTAGCTTTGCCAGTATATGTCCTCATTTGTAGATTTCGCTCTGTTGAACAGGCTTCTGCATTTGGCTCTGAGGATTGATAATTGCTGGGTCCACCATGGAGGTTTTTTCTTTCCTCTTGCTTTTCTTAAAGGGCATGCAGCTGTGAATGCTGCGTTGCTTGCTTCTGTGAATTTATTTACTAGATTATCTAGCTCCTAAGTGCAAATGGTTTTTTTCTGGCGGCTCCCTGGGGAGGAATCTCGACAGAATTTCTTTGTACTTATTCCAGTTTCTCCGCCTGGGGTTGGAAAAACTAACCGGCGTAGGTGACTCTA